AGAAAGTAAAAGTAAAAACATTCATCTTTTTTGCAATTATTGTCCAACATTATATTAAAAGGTAAAAATTAAAAACATTTTTAATTTGTTTAAATTAATTTTACCTTATAAAATATGTGTTAAACAAAAAACACTTTGACACAAAATTCTCAAAAAATATATATAACTGAACAAATCACATCAAATTCGGGCTATGTTCAACGCATGCAAAATTAAAGTATTTTAAAAAAATATGTTGGAAACTATGTAATTCTAAATATAAAAAAATTACTTTGACTTATTAATTTTGCACAATTTTGCTATACTTAAACTTAATCATGATTGATTTTTAAAATCTGCTAGAGTCATGTGTAACTTGCTGCATGTAAATAAATTTAAGGCATTTAAAAGTATTTATAAACGGGGTTACAACCTCCCAAAAAAAAAGTACTAACATGTTATAGTGAAAACAATTAAAACATTTATTGTTAAAAAAAATTTAAACACACAAATTTTTTTTTTTAAAATGTGAACACAGAGGCATCTTATTTACATATTGAATCATCACAAACACTTCATCATATTTCTTTTAGAAAAATTACAAAAACCCCAAAATAGTAACTTTTTATAGAGTTGATCTACACTTTAAATTCGTTAATGTCACTCTCCCCTCTCCATTGCACCGCTGTCACCTAGTCATGGATTCTAAAAAAAAAAATTGGGACATAATCAATAGGAAATAATGAACGTTGACTAATCGTAAATATATCTGTTAAAAGAGTTTAAAGGTGTTGTAGTGATCTATTACATGAAATAATATTTTGACCGATAAGCAAGTTTTATATAGTGTGAAAAAAAAGGTCTAATTGTGTGACAGTTAGGGTTTTATGTAAAAAGAGAATATACTGGAGAAAAAAAGAGAAGAAAAAAAGAATTTTAATCTATCATTTTGAATTTTTATAAGAGATAATAGTTTGGACAAATCAAGAAAAAGTTTCTTTTAATTTTCCTTTTGAAAAACATAAATCACTGAATAATTAGTATTTTTATAATTCTTACATTAATGTGTTAGCGAATAGCATTTTTTAAAAAATTGTTTTTTAATTAAAAAATTAAAAAATTAGTTGAAACTTTTGGAACTCTCACAAGGCTTTTCACGAAAAGTCCCTTTACTATAATATATAGTATAAATATATATATATATATTAAATCAAACCATAAATTAACCTAGATACTCTAATTTATTACTATAAAATTGCCTTAATATATTATTTAAGGCAACTCTATCTCTTTTTTATTTTCTTTAATTATTAATCAATTATCTTACTTATACACTATTAAATTTAAAAAGTGAGTTAAAAATATAGACTTTTATATCATTTTCTATCAAAATTATATTTTTATTATCAAAATGAATTCAACTCAATTCTTGTTTTTAACTTAACTCAAAAGTGTCTTTGGGCTAAAAAAGGGAGGGAATCAACTCCGTTGATTATTTTTCTTCGCTTTCCATCTTTCTTTATAAATTTTGATTTAGCCATTACATATAATTATAGGGGAATTTTTTTTAAGATTTTTTATATTAAGATTTTATAAAATAAAAAACATATAATATTTTTATAATAGTTAAGGTTTTTAACATTTTTACAAAGAAAATTTGAGACAATTTTTTTGCCTGACTCAAAGAAATTTCACCCCAATTCAAAGAAATTTTAATTTTCACAGAAAATAAATTTCTTTGAGTCGGGTGAAAATTCTTTGATTCGAATTTTCTCTAAAAAATGTTGAGGGACCTTAACTAATAAAAAATATATATCTTGAACCTCTCTTACTACACAAAATTAGAAAGAGATGTTTCATTAATTTTTTCATAATTATATGTAATGGCTAAATCAAAATTTATGAAAAAAAATAAAATAAAAAAGCACTTATGGTTATTTGAAAATAACGTTCTAATCATTTTTTTTTGTATTCAAAACTTGGTGAATGGATTATGGATATATAATTTTTTTTTTCTTTTCAAAGGATGATAAACAATGGTGGAGTCAAGATTTTGGCTCAGAAAAAGCACCATTGAATAAAAATCTTAACAAAATTTACAATCCAATTTAACTTTATTTTTACTAGTATATAACTCGTGCTCTGCACGGGATTAAACATTGATAAATTTATTTTTAAATTAATTAAGATAATTAAAAAAAAGCTTAAGTAAGTTTTAACTTCTTTTTTTTTTAGGACAAAGAGAGTGTTTGAAATTAGCTTTCTAAGTGGGTTTTTTTTTTTTTTTTTGACTTTTTTAAAAGATTTAAAAAACTTAATGAATTTAAGAATGAGTTTTTTAATTGTATGAGAAAATACAAATAAGTGTTGTCATATTTTTATTTTTTACTTAAATTTTCCATTTTCTCCTTCAAAAGGTATAAATATTTATGCACTCACTCACAAGAATTAGTTGGTCTTTTTAAACTAGTACAAAGATTTCCTAACTTTAGTTTTTTTTTGTTCATGCCAAACACATTTTAGCTCTTTTTAATTTCTTGATTTTTTTAATAAAAAAGATAACATCTCAGACATGGCATGAGTTCCACAATTTTTATTTATTTATTTATTTTTGTTGCTATTAATATTTTTTCCTACATATTATATAACAAATAGATATATAATAATTCAATTTTTTTTAGAGTGTCATATAATAATTCAATTGATAAAACTAAAATAAATGAATTTTCTAAAATTACAAAAATTATATCTTCGGTCAAGTATAATCACATTATCTACAAAATTCATAATTATAATTCATCCTACCACAGCTTATCAAGTGATATAATAATCTTATCTTCATTTTTTTCTTTTTTCCTTTTTTGTCTCTTTTAAATTTTTATATTTATTTCAGTATGTACATTTGGAAAAAAATATTTTTGTATTAGTAACATTTGATTTCTCAATTGATAGAGTATGATAAATTTGAATTGACCATAAAGTGTAAGGGTATTTTTAAAATTGGGTCCAGCTTGTCTCAAGTTGAGATCAAGACTGGACCCGTCCAGTCCGACCCATGGGGCCCATTTTTTGGGCCCGTTTTGATAATCTGAACCGTCAATATGTAGAACTCGTCGAGTACTATATACTTGTAAAAAATCACATTGATCGGATATCAATAGTTATGTGATCAAATCAATTTTGTATAAAAAAAAATGGACGGTGAAAAAATTAACGGTTGCTAAAAAAACTATTTTGTTCACATAGCTATCGATATCCGATCAACATAATTTTTTACAGGCATATAGTACTCGACGAGTTCTACACATTGACGGTTCGGATTATCAAAATGGGATCCGTGGTGGGCTCTCACAAGCCCAACAGCACGGTCCAAAGCCACTGCCTTTAAAATTTTATGAGATGATCGAGGTACCTAGGCCATGTTAGATTTATGTCAATCAACACAAATTAAAGAGTTACTTGACCAATTTATTTATGTATATATTTTTCAAATTGATAAACATATATCGTTAGTAATTTTTTGTTTCATTATAAAATGTCCATATTTATGCATATTTAATAGTTTTGAAAAAACAAATTAAATGTAATAATTTTCTTATAGTGTTGTAATTATGGTCATAACTTCATTAGGAAAAGAAAAACTATATGGAACTTCTGAAATAATGTTCTACACTAATTGTTAATTAACACATATTATTATGTCATAAAATATTAAAAAAAAAAAGAGTAGTGATACACAAATATAAAATCAATACAAAAAATTATTAATAATGGTTTTGTTGGATTTTGATTTATCACTTTATCATAAATGACACATTTTGGGATAAAATTTTGTATAAAAATTCTAGTAAAATAATATTTTCCCAACAAAAAATGGTTATAAGCAAAAAAAAAACAAACAAACAAACAAACAAATAATGATCAATAGAAACTAGAGGGTCGAGAGGGAAATGATACACAATGTATGAAATATAAAAACAAAAAATGATCAGAAGTTTATAAAAAAAAAAATTAAAAAGTAAAAAGAGAAAAAACAGAAGCGGTACAGGGCCCGAAAGGGCAAAGGCTCGAATGGCTCGAATTTGAGAAGGAAGGAGGAAGAAGAAGAAGAAGAAGAAGAGAAGGAGGAAGAAGGAGGAGAAGAGGAACAGGAGGGGCCATCAAAATCGAGCGGAGGCAGAGCGGAGGCGGGCGCGGGCGGAGGCTGAGGCAGAGGCGGAGGCTGGCGAAGGCAGAGGCGGAGGCGGAGGCGGAGGCGGCGATGCGACGATCGGCCGACGAGCTGCGACGCCGACGAGCTGCGTTCTCTCTCTCGCCTGTGTTCTCTCTCTCGCCTGTTCAACTCAACGGAGAAGAAGAAAGAAAAGAAAGAAAAGGAAGAAAAAGAAAAAAAAAAATCAAAACCCAAAACGACGTCGTTTTGGGTTTTGAGCCGAATTCGAGCCACTGATTTCGGGCCCCCAAACATTTTTCGAGAAAAAATTGTGTACCTAAAGGATGAAAAAGTCTCTTTAAAGAATTTAAGAGACTAAATATAAGTTAATTTTCAATTGTCTCATAAAAATAGAGAAAAAATAATGAGTTGTATCACTATATGAATGTAATATTTATAGGATGAGGAGGGCATAAATGATTTGAAGAATGTGTAATGTATGATGGCTAAAATTTTTGGGTAAGAGAAAGAATTTGTTGGAGAAAGAGTGCATAAGAAGGATCTTCTACATTTTTCCTTTTCTAAATCATAAATTATGGAATCATTATAGAAAATAACAAATTATGAAATTTTTTTATTTTTAAATTCTTTTTTAGACTTAAAAATTTTAAAATTTAGTATGGGATGTTAGAGCACAAAATCAACAAAGCGCACTTGATCCATAAATTTAAATCTCAATTTTGTTTATTCAAAAGTTCAGGAGCTAAAATAATTTGTCCAAAAACACAAACTCAAGCAAAATTACCAAAATAACCTTCTATATATATGGATATATATATCTTGTACACACGGTTCCAAAAACCCTAAACATACATACACACTCCACTCTCTCACTCTCTGTCTCTTCTCTTTACTCTTCAACAGCCGACCAGTGACAGCACCTCCTCCGTCGCGTCGACAGCACCTTCTCTGCCGCGGTCCTCTCCTTCTTCCATCGCTGCCGCTGTTCGGCGAGCTTGTCGCGTGCCACCGTAACAGGCTCGTCACCGACGCAAGGCCAGAATAATGTCTTCGGAAGGTCACCAGGGAGAGAGCTTCTCTTCGAAACGTCACCAGAGACGAGATCACCACCGGATTCCTTTGTATGTGTATATATCTTAGTCATCCACCATCACCAAATTTCGATGGCCATTGAGGGTGTTTGTTTGGGCTTTTTTTAGCGAACTTATGACTTTTGGCTTTTGAAAAGCTATTTTGAACTGTTTGGTTAAACTTATTTCAAACAACTTCTGATTCTAACAACTTATTTTAAGTCAAAAAAGCTAATTCTGATAAACTGCTCACCCTTTACTTTTGATTATCAGCTCCTGCTGTGGACATATTAATTTACGGTTATACTCTTAAATTTTTTTTATTTTTTATTTTTTTAAAAATAGAAAAAGATCCAAATGGACTATAGAATACTATCATTATTTTTTTTTATGAGAAATATAGACAAGTAGTGAATAACAAAAAATAAAAACTAATTAAAAAAGTTACTTTACAACTTATTTAACAAACACTTCTCAGTAATTTAAATCTGTAATCCAACAGGTACACCAAACAAATTAGCAGCTTCTGATTAAAGTCATAATCTATAATATGTTAACTTATAATCTATAATTTGTTTTAACAACTACACCAAACGGGGCCATTGTCAGGAACACCGCCAATCCAAGGCTGATTGTATTGAATCTGGCTTCTCTTTCACTAATCTCACTGAAACATCTCAGATCTACCGATGATAAGGATGATTCTCGCTTTCTCGCTCTTTCGCTCTCCGTATTCTTTCTTTTTCTCTTCTTTCTCTCTAATCTTTCAAAAGAATTTGAGATCTGAGTTGAATCTGCTCTCTAATCTCTAAAATTAGGTTTTTATTTGATAGAAACTTCTATGAGTAAATTTGTTATATACATACAACCTGTAGTTTTTGTGACTTTTACTTGATATATGCTAGGACTCTCAAGTTTGCTAAAATATGATTAGGCCGCGTTTGGCAACCTTTAATTTTAGTAAAAAGAGTCAAAAAATTATTATAAGCTGTTATACTACTCTCTTCATTTTTTTGCACATTAGCATTATTTTGTAAAAAGTCAAAAAGTTATTAAAATAGCATGTTTCCAAATGAGACCTAATCTGCAATTATTGTGCCTTTAATTTTTTTTTTTTTGGAAATGTAACATTATTAACTCTGCAGATCTTCGTGAAAACCCTCACAGGAAAGACCATCACCCTCAATGATCTTCAAATAGAGATTGCCGTGAAGATAATGGGTTGGATCTGGAGTGACAATGGACTGGATTTGTTTTTTTTCTTTCATTTCTGCATTCAAGTAGTTGTAGAGTTGTTTTGATCATCATACTATGTTTGAAAAATGGAAATTGTAAGCAGATTAGGGTTTGTTGTTGTTATTGTTGATGATGATGATGATGATCAAACTAAAATAGATAATTTTTTGTTTTTGTTTTTTTGTTGAACAGATAAGGTTGAGAGAGAGGGAGAGAGAAGAAAGATTTGAATAGATAATAAAATATGCTTAAAATTTGAACGAATAAAAAAATTAAATAGAGAATAAAATAAATTTAAACAAATAAAAAATTGAACATATAGTTTTAAACAGATAGGTGAAAAAATTGAACAGGTAATAATATTTTGATAGATATTTGAACAGATAAGGGCAAAAAATTTGAACAGATAGAGAAAATTTTGAACAGACAAGCAACGAGAGCAACAGGTAAAAAAAAAAAGTCAACATATAAATTAAGGGGTAAAATTGAAAATAAAATGTCTTTCAAAACTAATAAAAGAATTTTTCACTAAATTATTTTACAAACGATAGACCTTTTACTAACAAAAAATATTCACTAGATCTAATGTTTTATACCCTTCTTACTTTGGACTTTTCAACAATTATCTCTTCAACAAAAATTTTGAACTTTTCAACAATTAACTCATCAACAAAAAACAATTTAATTATAAGGGAACAATCAAATCAGTTTTTCAAATTAATTATAGGGAAACAAAATCAACAAAATAAAATAATTTCAACAAATTTGAATTGATTTTTGTTTAATTTATTTTAAGGAATGAAAGATTTTAGGTAGAGATTTTAGAAGATGGACAAATAAATTGAAAGGTTAACAAACTGTATTTCTATCGAGCCATGATAGAGACCCCCTCCATTCACCACCCCCACAACCCCCACAGACACGTGGCGGGTGGTGATTGGAGGAGCAGGAAAAAAAAAAAAAAAAAAAAAGAAAATGTAACCAATGAGAGAGAGAGGGGGTCAAAGGGGGTGAGGGAAAATGGGGCATGAAACATTTTTGATTTCTCTATATTTGATTTTAGAAAATGATTATCTTTTAGATAGTGATCTTAGGAGATGGGCTTGTAGAGTTTTATTTATTTATTTTGAAAATTAAGTGAGACACATGAAAAGTTTATTATTTTTTAAATTGAAAAAATCCAAATTAATTATAAAAAACAAAATCAATCAAACAAATCAATTTAAACAGATTTAAATTTATTTTTGTTTAATTTATTTTAAGGAAAGAAAGATTTTAAGTACAGATGTTAGAAGATAGACAAACAAATTAAAAGGTCAACCAACCATGTTTATACATTTAATTTTAGGAAATGATCATTTTTTAGGCAATAATCTTAGGAGACGGGCTTACAGGTTTTTTATTTTATTCTATTTTTTTAATTCGAAAATTATGTGAGACACATGGATTTTCTATATTTGATTTAAATTGAAAAAATAAGAAATTGAGATTGAGTATATGGAGCCCTCACATCTCTTCTGATTAAAATTCTCTTGTCCTTAATATATAGTATAAATTTGATGGTAGAACTAAAATTAAAAGTTATATTTAAATATAAATTCAAGTTAACCAATCAAATTATATCAAGATGGACACACAAAAAAAGATATAGCGAGGGATATAGAAAGAAATAAGAAAAATGGTGAATAAATAATACATAGGGGCTTCTATATATCATTTGATTTTTTTTTTCACATTTTTAAATCAAAATTATATGACAATATATTATTAGTTGTCATTAATTATGTAATAATTATTTGTAAACAAATGAACTAAATATGAATATTCATATAAGAAATGATAGAAAACACTAACATATAACATTTCTTTAATATAAAATTTATAAGAATTTTTTTAATATAATTGAACATTTAAAGTGACAAATTAAACATATATATATATATATATTTAAAAAAAGCAAAAAAAATAGTGATTAAAATTTCAAGACATTACTCGAAAGGATTAAAAGGAAATATTATTTTTTTACTAGAATCAAAAGTATAATTTTTCAAAAGTTGAGAATGACATGTGACCCCTAAGCCAATGTCAAGCCTCACATACCTCCATCCGTAGTGATAAACAATCCAAGCAGTTAAAGATAGTTTTAATTTCTTTTAATAGTGACAAGGGAAAATTTGGTTAATACTCGTTTGGGAAGTGGATTGATTTTTTAATTTTTTGACTTTTTTTGTTATTTTAGCTTGAGTTAAAAAATTTGATTTGAAAAAGACTTTTTGACTTTTTTGACTTTTTTTTGGTGAGAGAAGAGTGTAATGATTATGGGTTGGATGTGATATTTTATTTTTTGTGACTAAAATAACATATTTTATCTTTTATGGTTAAAATAACCAAAAAAAACCCAAATAGCTCTTCCCAAACGGAGATGTTCTTTAAAAAATTTAAGACTCACAAATGACGATCTAATTAATCTGAAGTGGGATTGGAGTCTTAACGCAAAAACATTGCAAGATACCCCCAACGGTGAGGCTTATTTTAGGCTTAAGATCATGATTCAAATTATTTATATAGGAAATTAAGTTTTCTCCGGTCTATCCAATCTGGCATGTAAGGCCATTACAAGCTCTACTTTGATGATTTATTCGTTTAATTTTAAATTTTAGTGTGTAAATTATTTTTGAGAAAAAATCAAATTGATCTGATTTTTTTCATAAATAATTTTCATACTAAAATCTAAAAAGATTAATAAAATAAATCATTGACATATAATCTGTAATGAGTCCCACCATCTCCCACGGTCCAAATTAAATGACAATATGAATTGACGAAGAGTTGAATCCTTTAAAAATGAGTCATTAAATTATATATTTTTTAGAATAATTACTAATATGTCCTATTGAGTGCAATTATTTGTTCATAAGTCCTCCGTGATTTTTTTTTTCTTTATTTACCCATTGTTTTGATAATAAATTTTTTTTGAGACTTCTTAGATTTGTTTTGTGTTTGTGGAATGATTATTTGATATTGAAAATTATACTAATAAATTTATTACAGTGATAAATGAATGGATTATTTTGAATTTTGTTTATATTTTGAATTTATTTATGTTAGTTTTTATTGAAATATGATGTAAAAAATATAAATAGTTAAATTATATTTTTTTAAACAAAATTTACAATGATAAATTAATCATTAAAAGTTAGAGTAAAATTTATTAATAAATAAAGGGTCTTGAAAAGTGCCTTAAGACACAAGCAAATGACAAGAAATATGTCAATCTCGAGTTATTTATTACCAACTAAATTTAATATATATATTTTATGAATTTCAAAATACTTTACAAATGTTTTTACACATTTTCAATATATTTTTTCTTGCCTTTCCAGTATTAATAAGTGACATAAAACACTTATTAATAAGTGTCATAAATAAATTGGATTCGCATGATTTCAATATATTTTTCTCGCCTCCCCAATGTTAACAAGTGGCATAAAACGCTTATTAATATTTGCTATAAATAAATTAGATTTGCATAATCTACTTGCTATTTGTTTTATTTTTTTTGGTGGTTAATGTGTGTTGGATAAAAATCACAACAAAATTAATGTTGAGAAAGATAAGATGAGTGAAGTTCCCAATCCTAAGTAAACACCCTCAAAAGCATGTGCCGCCACCGCCACTTTTATCTATACATGTGAACATGCTTGTAATGTGAGAGAGAACTCCTCTGGAGTCTAGACCACTGTCGGAACCAAAAAAATGTTTCTTTATTACCGATAAATATAACCGTTGGGATCCACCGACATGTGTCTAAACTCACCCACTTCTCTCCTTCAATTTCCTTTCTATTTTCTCAACCTTCCCTCCTTATCAGTAATTCTAAGAAATACACTCCTCTCTCTCTCTCTCTCTCTCTCTCTCTGCAAACCCGTGATTGAATCGCCCTCAATCCATCGAAATAACGAGAATTTCAGACAATGGAATCATAGTTCTCTAATGGGTTTTCACCAAAACTAGCAATGACGTCACTTTCCGGCGAGTTTTCCGGCATAATTTGCATAAACTTCTTTCTATTCCTCCTTTTTCCCGGCAACATCGTCTTCATCGGAAGCACAGAATTCGATTTCGGAACCTTAACTCTGAGCAGCTTGATGCTTCTCGGCGATGCCCACTTGAACAACGGGAGCGTGAGGCTCACTCGCGAACTCGCGGTCCCCAACTCTGGCGCCGGCAGAGCTCTTTACTCCAAACCCATCCGATTCCGGCAGCCGGAGACTCACGTTCCGGCGAGTTTCTCCACATTCTTCTCCTTCTCTGTCACTAATTTGAACCCATCTTCGATCGGCGGCGGACTCGCTTTCCTCATCTCCCCGGACGCCGCCGCATCCGGCGGCGCCGGCGCGTATCTGGGAGTGATGGACCAGAACGACGGCCCAAACGGCGTCGTAGCGGTCGAATTCGACACTCTGATGGACGTTGAGTTCAACGACATCAATGGAAACCATGTGGGTTTGGATCTGAATTCCATGGTTTCATCGTATGTCGGCGATTTGGAATCTGTAAATCTTGATCTGAAAAGCGGCGACCTGGTTAACTCGTGGATCGACTACTCCGGGTCGACTCGGGTCTTCAATATATCAGTCTCGTACTCGACTCTCAAGCCCAGAGACCCTCTCTTATCGTTCAGTCTCGATCTCGATAAGTACATCAGCGATTTCATGTATGTTGGGTTTTCCGGGTCGACTCAGGGGAGTACCGAGATTCACAGCATTGAGTGGTGGAGTTTCACTTCATCTTTCGATATGAATATAAAGTCCGAGTCATCATCGCCGCCCCCAACCACCACTTTGATGAATCCAACGGCTAATTCTATCAACCCACCACCACCACCAGCAGCCGCGCCGCCGTCATTGCCGCCATCGGAATCAAATAGTACAATTTCACATACCTCTCAAAATAAGAGTAAGTGCCATAACAAGTTGTGTAGAGAAAGGCCAGTGGTGGTAGTTGGGATAGTTATGGCTAGTGCTTTCATTTTAGCCTTGTTTGTTGTTTTTTCGATCTGGGTATATTCTAAAAAGTTCTATCACGTGACAAATTCCAATTCTTTTGCATCCGATATCATCAAAATGCCCAAAGAATTTAGCTACAAGGACCTTAAATTAGCAACAAAATCGTTCAATTCTAGCCGAATCATTGGTCATGGAGCGTTTGGGACGGTCTATAAAGGCATATTACCGGAGAGTGGTGACATTATTGCGGTGAAGAGGTGTAGTCATAACGGTCAAGGAAAGGCCGAGTTTCTATCAGAATTGTCCATAATTGGAACTCTTAGGCATAGAAATCTTGTTAGGCTTCAAGGTTGGTGCCATGAGAAAGGTGAAATTCTATTAGTCTATGACTTCATGCCTAATGGGAGTCTTGACAAGGCACTCTTTGAATCAAGAATGCCATTGCCATGGTCTGACAGGAGAAAAATCTTGATGGATATTGCATCTGCATTGGTATATTTGCATCAAGAGTGTGAAAACCAAGTGATTCACAGAGATGTGAAGACTAGCAACATAATGTTGGATGAAGGGTTCAGCGCGAAGTTGAGTGATTTTGGGTTGGCAAGGCAAATTGAGCATGATAAGTCACCAGATGCGACGGTGATGGCGGGGACAATGGGGTACTTGGCTCCAGAGTACTTGTTGACAGGAAGAGCTACTGAGATAACTGATGTGTTTAGCTATGGAGCTGTGGTGCTTGAGGTGGCTAGTGGAAGGAGGGTTATTGAGAAAGAGGGGAATGGAAATTTGGTGGAATGGGTTTGGGGTTTGCATAGAGATGGGAGGTTGATTGGGGCTGCTGATTCAAGGCTTGGTGGTGAGTTTGATGAGGGGGAGATGAGGAGGGTGTTGTTGGTTGGGTTGGCTTGTTCTAACCCTGACCCAATGGCTAGACCTACAATGAGGGGTGTGGTCCAAATGTTAGGGGGTGAGGCTGACGTCCCTATTGTCCCAAGAGCTAGGCCTTGTATGAATTTCAGTACTTCCCATCTATTGTTGAGCTTGCAGGACAGTGTCTCTGACTTGAATGGTATGATCACTATCTCCACTTCCTCCTCAGGGCACAGCTTCAATGGTGGTGGCGATGGGGAACTAGTCTGATTCAAATCATTGGTTGAAATTTCTTGATATTGTTTATTAAAACTTACATATATCCATTTGGGTGAATTCTTTCTTGAGAGTTTTTTTTTTTTTTGTCAAAACACTAACGATTGTTGCATTATGTTTCAAATTTTTTGTATTTTGAGATTCTTTCATAATAGAACATAGAGATTTAGGGACAAATGATTCTTGGCGATCTATTTGTTATTATGCATGACACAATGACATGGAATAATTGCTTGTATAAAGTTTGGGGACTTGGGCCCTCAATTTTGGTTGTGCTATTATGTTTTTTCTTTGGGTTGGATTGGGTTTTTCTAGAGTTATATGGAGAGCTTGAGTTGTTGCTTTCACAAGAAAACTCAATAGTCAAAAAGTAGGCACATAACAGTTTGAGTAGAGTTTTGGCCAAGTGTGGTCACAGTAGTCCATATTTATTATAGGACCCTTTTTTTTCTGTAGTTCTTTCATGGTGGCCCATGGCTGTTGTGGATGATGAAACAAAGCACTGAATGCTTCTTTTTTTCTCTTTTTTTTCTTTTTAATTATTTGCCTTATATATATACATTTTTTTATTTTCGTCATGTACCAAAAATATATATAACATATTCTAATTTTGTCTCCTTTTAGTTTTCTCCAACTGTAACCCATGTTGCATGCTTTGGATGCATATGTGTACAAATATTGGATCCTTATACAAGTTTGTAAATTATGATCACCCAAAAGATTAACAATCAGAACCATTCAGACCTTATATGTATTAACAATGTGTATTGAAGTATAACCCATGGGCAAATACACATATTCTTTTGAACTATTATTTACTATCATTTAATACACATTGATTTGTATCAAATGTGTATTTCTCATTAAGAATTCGTCACGCAAGTGGATGAAAATTTTACATGTGCCTCGAACATAATAACATTTCAAATATTGAAAAATGTTTAAAATGACCTCATTCTTTCTTTCCCTCCCTTCCGCCTTTTTTTCTCATTCCTTTCTTTCTGCTACACATGTCAGCAGAGCCGTGGTAGCCTACACTATGGTTGCTGCAGTGGGTAGAAGAAACAAGAAAAAAGAAAAAAGAAAAAAAAGTTATTTTAGGAATTTCACAAGAAAATTATGTTGCCAAATAAACTTACATATCTGCCATGTCAATTTTTCATTCATTTATGTAACAAATTCTTAACGAAATGTTCACATTGATATATAAATTAATAGTTTAGGGGAGAAAAATGAAAGTATATACACAACTAAAGGAAGCCATACATCCTCAATAAATTGTTGGACATCCAATTTTTCAAAAAATAAATAAAAAATTTTATTTCCACACACCTATTCATCTTTGTGTACATCGTTTCTCAATGAACATACTTATTAATTTGGTTATATGTTAATGTTCTCATTTCACACACCACATGTTCCAATTATACCCCTTAACTTATGTCCTATACACACATCACCTATACCCTTGTTCCACATACCTGCTCAAAGTTTTAGACCCATTTTTGGTTCCAGACTCATTTTCGGTTCCACCCACATTAAAGACACTGTGAAGACAACTCCATTAAAGACCTTCCATTGGCAACTCCATTAAAGACCTTGCATTATTGAAGGTGAGCATCTCCCTCCCATTTTGAAACATTTTATCTGATTTCGTTATATGTTATTCACTGTACACTCAATTGACGATCTACAACTGTATCTATCTCCTATTTTCCATATTTTTTCTTGTTTTTTATTTTGCGCATTCAGCATTGGGTTTCTAAATGGAAAAGTATTATTTGGTTGTTTGCTTCTGAAAATTATACAAATTCTAGGAATTTGATTTCCAAATTTAATTGTTACATTCGAAACTTGAGTTTCGAATTTTCTAAACAATTTCAGCACTGGTTTGCCGAATAAAAATCAGGAACAAAAAAAAAAAAAAACTCACTTTTTCATTGCTACATTTGTTGTAACCAGACACGTTATTATTTGAATTTGAACAATAGAGCAAGTGAGAAACAATGGAGAAAATATGATTTAGCTTGTTTTACTCAAAATATGTGCACTGAGATTCTTTATTTTTTTTTAAATGTGCATAGGGAAAACTTTGATTTGATATTAAAGGTGTGTTTTGATATCTATTAGGGTCATTTTGTTTTAGGTTATAATTGTCATTAAAATTATATTTGATTAAGTGTGTGAACATAGATAAATAAATGTGTAGAAGTAGAATTTCTCAAAATAAATAGGTTTAATACTATTTTACCCTTAAAATCAAATTATCAAAAGAGACTTCAATGTGGCCACCACCCCCTCCCCAACTCTGGTCAATCCTTTCCAACCCCCGTCCCTTTTGCCGCTACTCCTTTCCCTTCTTTTATTTCTTTTTCTTCTTCTGGGTCGTGATCCCCCTCTCCTATCCCGAAGCCCTAACCTAGTTTCTTTCTATGCCACACACTTTCCCCACTAAAAACCCCCAACCTCTCTCGCCACAATCAATCATCATGAGTGAGTAGAGGGAAGAGATAACCCCATAAATAGAATGAAAAGAAAGGGGGAGAGAAAATCACGATGAAACAGAGAGGATGAAATTGCATAAAAGAAAGGTCACAAAGTTGTGTTTGCGATGGAAAGAAGAAAATTCAAAATTAGGGATGGAATGTCTTAAGAAATAAGATGTCCAACTTAATTTTTGTGATGGATTTAGAAGCTCCCGTAACTAAAACAATGGCACAAGAAAACCATTACTAAAATTGGACAAAAAGATGTGCAAAGAGAAAATAATCCTAAAAACACACATATGACGTACATGTGACATTTTTCATTTGTAATTTAAAATAAATTTTGATAGAGAAACCATGTTTAAACTCAATTAAAAATATAATCTTAAAATTAATGAAATTAAAATTGAAACTGAAATTGAGGAGGTCAAAAATGAAACTCTGTTTCAATTATAGAGATGCCGTGTAATTATTTATTTATTTTTGATTTTTTTGGGAGTCTAGAACCCCCTAAAAAAGTTTATATGGGCTGGCATGCAATATGATTCTGGGACGTTATGATAGTGGGACTCATCATCAGTCACATATGTGTCCATGGCATGCAATATGATTCTACATTTTAATGATAATGACTTGTGTATTGGACTCCGTCCCATAAGGGAGTGAAAACCACATACTAATCCACCCAAAAAGAAAACCACATACTATATTAGCGGAGTATTGTTAAATTTGTAAAATATAAATTTAAATTTGAATTTGAATTTTAATTTTAATTTTAATATGAATTTGATGAGTTTCAAGGTAAATTAGTTATAAGAGTCAATTATATGAGAATATTTTGAATAATTTAGTATATATATTTGGCAAAGAGTCTCAGGACACTAATAGAAGTGTCTTTTTTATATATACTCTAGACGAGCCGTTGATACACAAGATCCGTATGTAATTCGAATAAATGAGAATATTTTGAATAATTTAGTATATACATTTGGCAAAGAGTCTCAGGACACTAATAGAAGTGTTCTTTTTATATATACTATAGACTGTTGATACACAAGATCCGTATGTAATTCGAATAAATAAAAATTAAAAAAAAAATAGTACATCTTGTGTGTAATTTATGTAGTAGTGTGTTCTTTATTAAATCTAACCTGTTAGGTTTGAATATTATCCCTTTTTCATAATGGTTTTCTTTTTTTTTTTTAATTGAGAAATTTACATAGCACATAGAGAAACCAAAATTTCAAGACATCAACATGAGTGCTTACTTTATAGTTTATACATACTAGACGAAGCTGCCACATGACATGACGTGACCTTCACTTAATAATTGTATTAGTGGATGATGAATGTGCAATTCAGATAAGTAAATATAAAAATAAATAATAAAGAAACTAATATTGTAATATGTATATTATCTAAATAGTCAAAGTGTTTTTAATGAAACTCAAGGTCTTGGGTTCAAATCTTACTCATGCTTTTGAATAATATTATTTATTTTAGGATAGAAAAATCACATGACAGAAGGAGAAACCACCGCACTCTTTGACACTAAGTCAATACTCACATATATAATAGTATAGATTAATGATAATGACTTGTGTTTTGGACTCCATCCCATTAGGGAATGAAAAGCCTATACTATATTAGTGGTGCATTATTAAATTTGTAAAAAATAAATTTTAATTTTAATTTTAATATAAATTTGATGAGTTTCAAGGAAAATTAGTTATGCGAGTCAGTTACATGAGAATATTTTGAATAATTTAGTGATATACATTTGGCAAAGAGTCTCACGATATTAATAGAAGTGTTTTCTTTATATATAGTATAGACGAGCTGTTGGTACACAAAAATCATATGTAATTCAAATATAAAAAAATAAAAATAAATAATACATCTTGTGTGTTATGTAAGTAGTAGTGTGTTCTTTTTAGGTTTGGGTATTATCCCCTTTTTATAATATATATATATATATATATTTAATTGAGAAATTTACATAGCACATAAAGAAACCAAAATTTCAAGACATCAACATGAGTGCTTACTTTATATATACTAGACAAATCAGCCACGTGGCATGACGTAAAGGCTTAGACAACAAGGCCAACCTTCACTTAATAATTGTACTTAGTGAGCAATACGTGTGTGTTGGCACCATAAATTTGTAATTTTTATTATTATTTATTATTTATATAATTGCAGGACATATATCATCCTCCTACTTATTTTGAGGTTATAAGAAGTTATGAAATGTGAAAAGATGATGGAGAATAAAGTGGAGAACATGAAACATGAATTGGAGGTTAAAGGAAGTTATAAAGACATTGAAGGATATGTGGCATTATGTGAATGAAAATGGAAGAGTAGGTAGTTTTAGGTGATTATTGGGTAGTTATTGCTGGAAGTTTTTTCCTACAAATATTTGCCTATAAATAGCCATTCATGGCTACATGGTAAAGGATCCAAAATTCAAATCAAAGACAATTGATTTCAATATTTTTTGTCATTTTCCTTATCTTAGGAGTAGTTTAACATAGATTTATACTTTAAAGCATTTATTTTCAGCACTTCCTTTTCGAAGCATTTTATGCACTTTCTTTTTGAAGCATAGGAGTAGAGATAAGTAATGATTACTTTGATTGTTCACTCAATCGTCTTTCTCCGTCTCCCTCTTTCTTCTTTTAATTTTTCCTTTTTTTACACTTGGCAATTTTGAAGTCCTCTTTGTTGAGGCAAAAGAACCGTCAACGCAATTGCTTGATAATTGGCTTGAATTTAATCTGTAAGGATTTTTCAATCCTTGCTGGCACGCTCACATTTCTGATATTTTCCTTCGTATGAAAAATAAGCCAACAATTTTTGGCACGCCCAGTGGGACTGCCAAGTGTAAGAAATGACAAACGATTTGGATTTTGCCATTCGAACCTGTCAATATAAAACATATTGGCGTGAAGAAAAAAAATTGGATCTTCAAGAAAAGATCCATTTTCTTGAGGAAAAAAATTTCCAAGTTGTTTCTTCATTACCATATTATTTGTTAAAAGAAAAAATACACCACTTAATTGGAGTAACTCATCAAC